GTGTCCCCCCCCCCCCATTCCCCCACTTACCTGTCACCGCCACTGGTCCCCGAAGCAATCCTCCATCCCGAACTTCCTGGTTGCAGGTAAGGAGATTGAGGGCAGAGGAGCCATAGGCTCCTTCTGCCATCAATCAACCTGTTGGGCAGAGAGGAGGGGTATGGCCTGCCGCAGGGTTGTGTGTTTCTATGGATGCACACAGCCACTTGCTGGCACGGCTGGTAACGAGCACGCACAGGTGCCTTCCCCAGCAGCTCCTTAGCTGATGGTGGCACCTATGTGGGGAGTGGGGGACCCACCAGAGAAAGGTTAATTAAAACAACAAAGGATTTTTTAAAGTATGAGCCTCCTATTTATAAAAAAAATGAAGCTTTAATATCACTTTAAGCCTACAGGCTTGTATGATGATCTATTGGAGTCTCTGTGAATGGTGCTGCTAGTAGCAGGTTCAAAAAGAGAATCAGTTAGTTTAAAAGTAAGATATACACAAACTGCTCTAACTAGATCCAATCAGTGAAGATAATTTTCCTTTGGATGTACTGGAGTAGGACAAAAGCATAATAGAACATGTATCGGCAAATGGGACCACCTCAGAGGAGGCTACTATCATTCTGAGTAAGCTATCATTGCTGTAATTTTGTTCATAAAATCTATCATATCTGTAGAAATTTCCTCCCTGGATGATGGAGAGGACAGAGCCAAATCTAATGGAGCTAGGGAAGACTCAGAAGAATGTGTGGACTCAAGAAGGGTACAACAATCCAGGCTATCAGCCATAGGTTCTTGAGAAGGGACACTGAAGGCCACACTTGTTAGGGATCTTGAGCTAGAGTGGTCGGCGGGCAGGACTGCTCTCTTTGGATTTTGGGTTTGGAAATGTTGTACTACAACTGAGGCAATGCAAATGACACATCAAGGCAAAATTTGGATACTCATAAACCAACTGCTGAAAGCAGGAGAGGGTATATGGCCAGAGGTGACCAAGTCACTGTAGGCAGCAGCAAGGACAAACTGAGGAAAAGATCGCATGACTCTTGCCAGTAGAGCAGTAACAGAACAACTACCTGTTAGTGACATAACACTTTTTTCTCTAGCACAGTAACCCTTTAGGGAAAAACAATGGCTGGGTAAAAGTAGAGTGCTATGCTCACAAAGGGCAAAGTCTGAAAGACTTTACCCTAGCCATAGACCTGGTAATCAATCTGCGGCAAACAAGCCCAGTAATATGGTACCTGAGTGCCATATGCAGAATCCAGTGATTAATACCACATTTCAGAAATGATTCACCCCATCCATAAAGGGAGTCATCAGGGACAGGTCACATGCCCTGGATATGTTTAACCAGTACACTAGGTGTCAGGGCAGTGCCACAAGCAGAGCCTGATGCCTGAGGGTCACATTAGAGGTAAGCCCTGCATTCTTCGGTAACGAGTCAGTGCTGATTGGCTGATCAGCAGAATGATGAAGTCTTGATTAAACTTAAATATCGCTTTAAAAAATATTGCTTTAAAAAAAAATGGGTAAGCTTTTCTCCGGAGAGAAAAGACATCAATTCTCCTAGGACACTAGCAATAAACTGAAGCATGGAGGGATTATACTTGGTCAGCCTGTGACCTTTTTTGTTTGCCAGTGTCCAAATCCTCTTGGA